GAGTTATTAGATAACATAAGGCTTAAGAGTTCCAACCGCCGCATATCGCAAACCTGCAGGTTTACATGTATCATCGTCTAGAACGAATGACAGGCAGAATTCCTTCTTTATTCGAGCAAGCAGATGTTTTAACGTGGTAGCTAAGCAATAAGACGTTAATTTATATAATACTTCAGTCAATCAGATTAAAAAAATGCTTAACAACGCCTTTTAAAAAAAAATAAGATAGGTAATATATTTTTAAATTTTAGAATAATTGTCATTGTAATCAATACGTCCGGTATTTTTCTTTGTACGCTTTATATTAATCTAATTGTGGAAACTTTTAATTGGCCTTCTGTATTTAGTCCAATACTTTACAATAAAATAAATAAATAGCTTGAAACTCGCTTCGCAATGGACATCATAACTTGGTTTGTGCACCATAGACACACACTGGAGATGAACTCATGAAGATAAAAAAAGGAGCTTGACTCTTAATTTATGAAGAACTGTAAAAGTTATTTTTAGATATTAATTCACAGTCACAAAATATAGGTAAGCAATAAAAAATAAAGAGAGTAAATTAGCTGTAACGATAGAACACGTAGGAATGTAATACGTGAACACGTTGGTAATTTTACATTTTCAATACACAATATTTACTTGTTGTAAATTTACATCGAAAACTTTTTAAGACTAATTTGTGTTGACGTAAATCATTCTTACTGCAATGACTTAATGTCACCGACTCGCACTAATCTACGCACTACTTAATGACCCAAACCTAGAAAAAGATCTTTATAACTGAAACAAATAACAGCGTGAGGGCATAATTTGAATCCGCGCAATATTTGTATGTTTTGCATCTTTTATGTAACGCAAAATATAGCATTGGACAAAAAATAAGCTGAAAACAAAGGAGCTTCTGAACAAGTTGGAAAAGCTATTTGAATTCAACAACTGCTTAAACCAAAGTTGGATTCGCGTGTCGCTTTTTTAAATAAAGCTTCTGTTGGACTACTTTTTAACAAGATTGAAAAAACTTATCAATGAGGATTTTTTTTTTAAATTTAACGGAGCTTTGATAGAAATTGTTATATGAAGCTTAAGTCAACAACAGTACCTTCATATAATATATGAAATACAGGAAAACTTCATGCCAATAATAGAACCTTATGAACCTCAAAACTCCCTTAAAAGTTTTAACGTAACATTCGTTTTCACTTACTATAACGTCATTCACTCTGACACGCGATTGCGGTGTTGATAAGCGCTTTGTCAATGCCTGTCGCTCGTATGACGCCCACTCGAGTTGGCCTGCGTCGGTATTAATTAAAACTCCGCTACCAGGGCGCTTTCAATGATTGGATGGGCCAATGTCAATAAACATTTGATTTCAGTGTTATTGACTTACTAATCATAAAAAGCTTGGGCGTTTCTCGATTTTTGTAAAAGATTTTCAGCGCAATAAAAGTTGTTCTGTATACAAATACACACAGTCAGGGTGTGTGGGTTCGATGTCCACATTCGTTGAAAAGAATTTTTGTGACAGATAATTGTTCCGGATCTGGGTGTTTGATTCCCAAGGCGGGTTAACATCAGGCAAGCGGCCAGTGGCAAAAACATAGCCAAAAATCACTTTCAAGATGATTCACATGTTTTGCCGACTCCACCTAGGTGGTGTATGGTATAAGGTGGCAGGAGGATGATGAATAATGTAATTATCAATATTCAGTGACATTTTTATTTGGTATAACTGTGGGAAAAACATCAATAATGGTTAAACGAAACTATTTCAACGGATTTTATCGTAGTTCATTTTCCATTCCCGACGTCTCGAGCCCTTTCCAGCCCCACAAAAAAAACCCTCCCACAGTATTCGCGTAAAAACAAGATACCCATATCTTATATAATTACTGCCTACTACAAATGGCCGTAGACTGTCATAAACGTCTGGAAACTTAAAAGATTTTTCCACTAAGTAAGATAATCGTAGCCCAACATTTAGTTATTGGTATTACCCTAAAAAAATATCTGGTTTTGTGCGTATCCTTCACTCTCCTTAATTATGAGGTAAACCGCTTACTTAAAAGTGAGCTCATTGAAATGAAAAATATATAAAAGCTGTTAAGACTGACATAGAAGTTATTTTACTACTATATTATAAAGTACTATATTATACTATATTATAAAGTACTATATTACTACTATATTATAATTAAAAATTAAATATATATATATATATATATATATATATATATATATATATATAATTTTTTTATTTAAAACAATGCCCTTACTTTAGGATAACATTATCCTGTGTTGTAAGGACGTTTTACAAACATAAATTTTACGCAACAAACACCCAGATGCGAAACAACTATCTGTGAGTTACACAAATAGTTGTCCCGTGGGGGAACCCACGATCCCCGACGTCGAAGCCGATACCTCGGCAACTGCGCCGCGGAGTCATCAAAATATAGTAGTCATCAAAGTATATAATTATATAAAATTCAAATTTCGCTTGCTCATAATTATATTGTTGCCGTGATGTCGCACTAAGTAATGTTAATACAGAGTTAACTTCATCAAGTGTCAAATGCACCCAAAATGTACCTAACATTTAATATTCTAAATCTTACTTCTTACTAATAATATAATAATCTATATACATATATAAAAAGGAATCCCTATTTACCTTGGTCACGGTGTCACGCGTAAACGGCTGGACCGATTTCAATTTTTTTTCTTGTTGTGTTTGTTATTATCAGGTGAAGGTTCTTACGAAAGAAAAAATTGAAAAATTGCCTGAAAAAGTCTAAAAACAACACTTTTATATATTCCCGTACAAAAGATTCGTAATAATACTTAAAAGTCAATTTGAACTTTAATACCATACCATAACGTTTGATTGTTAGTTGAGGGGTTCCGGGAAGGCAAAACAAGTGAGTGAATGTGGTAACATGTCACTTGAAATGTAAACGTCTCTTTGCTGTGCATCACTACATGGTATAAAACAAAGTCGTCCCGCTGTCTGTCTGTCCCTACGTATGCTTAGATCTTTAAAACTACAGAACGGATTTTGATGCGGTTTTTTTTTTACTAGATAGAGTAATTCAAGAGGAAGGTTCATATGTATCATACATTGCACCCGTGCGAAGCCGGGGAGGGTCGCTAGTAATATTATAAGCGCGTATGTAAAATTTGTATGTATAGATGAATGTTTGTTACTCTTTCACGCAAAAACAACTGAATAGATTTTATTGAAACTTTACAATAATGTACCTTATACATCAGAATAACAAATAGTCTATAATTTATGAAGATATTTTGTGAATTTTCCAAAATATAGGTAATGATAAATGTCAACTAAGTAGGGAAAAATTCTGCCATCTACGAGATATTCTGGAGTAAAATAAAAAACTCATGTTAATTTTCTTCCGCCGCGCGGACGAAGCCGCGGTTAACAGCTAGTATGAACTATACGCTTAAAAGAGCCAATACGCTTATAATAACGTAAATGACTTTCTTTCGTTCTTTTTGAATTACTTCCTTTCTTTAACTATTTATTCATTACACACATATTCATGTGTTTTACATATTTTAACTGTGACAGGACCATGCAATTGTCTTTGTTGTTGCACGAAAGGCAACGAAGGGCAGGTCCGCCCGGGGAAGTACCATGACCTTACAGAAGACTGTCCTAAAGCGGAAGTGTTTTACTATGTTGCGTTTCGTCAGCTCAGACGAATCTCCATTGCAGTTCCACACGTTTTTAACCAGGCTTGCAAACGTCCAGGGGTGGCGGTTATCAAAGATCATGTACCCCGCTTACAATCTTCTTACATTAAAAAATTACACAGCGGTACGAATCTGTCTCCGGCTTCTTAAAGAAATAACTTTTTACATTTGTTAGTTCGATTTACGAAATAGGTATTTTATTTAAATCAATAATGAAAAAAAACCAAATACTGTTATGTCTGTTGTATGCAGGGTTGTATGTACATAATATAATGACAAATACCATCAATTCTCTTCTCGATCTAAACAATATTTGCTAAATAGTAAGTTTATGTGAATACGAACTTTAACGTTGAACGAGGAAGGTTATGGCTAAAACGTGCAATCATTTTACATTTCGGAACCACGGTCCGGATGAGATTTTACCGCTTATTGAGTCAGTTTACATAATTCCTATCTTTTCAAGATATTTGAAGTTTTTATAATATTGATTAAATTATATGCATGTACATTTTTGTTTTCTCATATTTTTCTTTTATGTGAAAAAATGGCATGGTTACTTATTAACATTTACAAAATCTGTATCGTTTTAATTAGGTCCTAGTTAACTCTAAATGAGTTAGCCAGGACCCAAGCGAAACGCAAAAGTTTAATACTTACACTTCATACCGGTCTTCACCGTTGTACGGTGAAGACCGGTACGGTATGAAGTGTAAGTTTCCCCGGCTGAGATTGCCTATTCGTGGAGCAGAAGAACCTGCTCTGAGACTCCACCACATTGTTGACTTTGTAAAATGCCCCTATATTATAGTATACAGCCAAAGAGATAAATAGGTCGAACATGTTGCTGGCGACGCACGTATTATAATGTAAATACTTTTTTTTAGATTCTTTATTTTCATGTATTAGTTTTATTTTCTTTAAATTATTCATTGTTAATACATACTTATATAAATTACTAATATAAATTATTATTTATAGTAGAAGGTAGTTCGCAAAATGTCATTTTAATTATGTAAGGTACATGTAATAGTAAATGGTTATTGCATCATCCTTCCCACCTATATATTGGGCGGGCAGTGACCCCGCTCGCTCTGTTCGTCCGCTTTTGTAGTGTGCACATAGGATTTCGTTACGTCGCAACGGTTGTAATTATTTTTCAAGTTTGCGAATAAACGTCCATTTCAACATAAAGCCGTGTTCATTAATTTAGACTCGCACCCTGTTCAGTGGTCACTTCGGCCGGATCTTGAATGTTCCACACACCGCCGCGAACAATGATTAAAACACGGGCTGCTAGAAGGAAGGAGCTGGAAGGCACACAAGATCAGCCTCAGCAGTCAGCGGATGAGAAACCGAAAAGTGATGGAGGGCCTACAGATATCCTGGAGAAAGGTACACCCGTCAAATATCCACCTTCTGAAAAGTCCAGACGATCCTCCTCTTCTTCAATTCGGGCTCAGAGACACAAGTTGGAGCTGGAGGCAGCAGAGGCAAAAGCTCGCATTCAAATGGAGCTTATTGACAAAAAACTCGCGGCCGATTTAAATAACCTAGAATACAGTTCACGGTCGCATACCAACGAGGAAGTTGAAAGATGGTTAGAGCGCAGCCAACAACTGGAACAGCCTGCCCCCGAGGATGGTCTTACTACGGGTGGGTTGTGCCCGCCAGCAACAGAGAACGCCACTACAGGTAACGCTGCCGCTGGCAACGATTATGGTACCGTACAAATGTTGGCCAGCGCACTCAAGGACTTAGCCGCCGCTTCAACATCTCACAGTAGAAGTGCCAATTTATTGAGCCGTATATCTACGCCACAAGACTTACCCATGTTTAGTGGCGACCCTATGGACTGGCTTCAATTTAGACAGGCATACGAAGAGTCTACACAGGTATGCAACTTCAGCCCTAAAGAAAACTTATGGTGTCTGCGAAAGTGTCTTCGTGGACCAGCAAAAGAAGCAGTAACAGCTCTTCTCATTACCGCCACATCGCCTGTCGTAGTAATGGCAACTTTGGAGCTGCAATTTGGTAATCCCGAAGTGATTATTAATCGGATCACATATGACATAAAAAAACTGCATCCGATCTCATTCGACTATCACAAAGATATTGTGCCATTTTCCATAAAAGTACGCAACTACGTCGCCGCAGTGCGTGCCCTTAACCGACAAGAATACCTACAAGACACGGGTATAGCATCAGTTATAATAAACAAATTACCTACAATACTTATATCAAAATGGACAGACTACAGCTATGGACTGCTTGCCGGAGGAGCAAAATGCAAGCTCGATATTCTGTCAGAATTCCTGAACCAAGAAGCCGTTTAAATATCTACATGTTCAGCGCAGTTATTAAACAGTGGCCAATGTATAAACAAGTTTAAAAACTCTGACCGTACGCATCATACAGTGTTGTTAAACAAAGAACGAAGTAAAATAGCTGTGAATTGTTAATATTGCAAGCAATCTCCGCACAAACTACCCGAATGTAAACAATTCAAACGGTCATTACGTAAGGACAGGTGGCAGTATGTTAAACGGCACGGTATCTGCTATAAAGGTTTAGTATCGCGCCACGACAGGGACAGCTGCCCGGCGCCCGCGTGTGACTCGGACAATTGCGGACAAGCGCATCATCGCTTGTTACACTATCGCGTATATAGCAATCAACCCGCAAGGAACATATTAACCCCTATTGTTGATGTGCCAGAGACTGAGAAAAATTCGGAAATTATAACAAACATCAACACAAATTTTAAGTCATTGTTAAAAGTGGTTCCTATTAATATTCACGGACCGAACGGCATAGTTAAAACAAGTGCGCTATTGGACGATGGGTCGACGATATCGCTAATAAGCAGCGAGCTCGCTGCGCGTGTTGGACTCAGCGGTCGCCGTCAAACAATGCGTGTGAGTGGCGCGTTCGATTCCAGTGAACTAGTGTGTGAAACTACGGTTATGGACTTTAAGATTTCTAACTGTGATGGCACTGTGTTTAATTTAACAGCACGTAGTATAGATAGTCTAAGTTTACCCAAACATACTTTATCGATTGTTAATTTTAATAAATATGAACATTTATGTAGAATTAGACATAAGTTATGCACTGTCGCTTCTGTACCCTTAGTACTCATAGGCCAGGATAATTGTAATTTGTATTTTTTTTTGCCTTTAAGTGTAATTGTAGGTAAGAGAAACGAACCGTGTGCAACCCTGACTCCTCTAGGTTGGTGTTTGCATGGGCGCGTACCTGCTCATTTGGCTGGAGAGAGGACCTGTCACATTAATTTACATCTCAGCAAGGACTTGGAAGCAGCTCAGTCAGAACAGCGAATATTAGCAGAACTTCATGAAGAGGTACGTCGTTACTTTAATTTAGATTCGTTAGGAGTGTCAATGCAACCACGCCAAAATAATAATGATATTCGAGCGTGTACTCAGTTGGAACGGACTGCAACCCTGGTTAATGGCAGGTGGCATGTCGGCTTACCTTAGGTCAATGAAAATAGCAAAATGCCCGACTCCTTCTCCAATGCTATGATGAGGCTAAAGGGCGTCGAAAGGAAAATTAAATTTGACAGTAACTATGGACATAGGTATAAGGAACGGATAACTCCCTGCTAATTAACGACTATGCTGAGGAAATTATGGACACATCCATCACTCAAAATATCTCCAAAACCTGGTATCTGCCTCATTTCGGTGTTGACAACCCGCATAAGAAAAAACTACGTTTGGTTTTCGACGCAGCAGCGAAAACAAATGGCGTATCTCTAAATGATTACCTTTTAAAGGGACCCGATCTATTGCAGTCATTATTAGGCATAATGTTGCGATTTAGGGAAAATAAGATCGCAATTACAGGGGACATAAAAGACATGTTTCTTAGAATTAAAATATTAGCGGAAGATAGAAACGCATTTAGGTTTTTATAGCGTGATAATCCGTCTGACCCTGTAGGTGAATATGTAATGACATCTTTAATATTTGGCGCTAATTGCTCTCCGTTTATAGCTCAATTTATAAAAAACAAAAACGCAGAACGATTTAGTTCATCAATGCAGTCCGCAGTGACAGCTATTTGCACACAACATTACATGGACGATTACATAGACAGTCTAATTCTACATAAATGTTCATATTTATTAAAATTAACAATCGATAAATTATGTTTGGGTAAACTTAGACTATCTATACTACGTGCTGTTAAATTTTGACGTATTTGGATTTTTATCACCCTTTACCATAAAAGGAAAAATAATGTTACAAGAGGTATGGAAATCTAACATTAAATGGGACGAGAAAATACCGGAAGAAATGAACAATAAATGGTACGCATGGATAACTCATTTAGAACGTATAAGCGACCTGCGCTTACCGAGACATTACAAGGCGACAACGAGTAGAAGCGAGACAGCAAGGTCATCGATGACGCATCGGCCCTATACTCACGCGCAGCAACCCGCCGCCGGCTATAGTAACTTACAGTTACATATATTTTGTGATGCATCAACAAAAGCGATGTGCGCTGTAGCGTACTGGCGTTGGATAGATAGCGACAAAATATACGTATCATTCATAGCTAGCCGCTGTCGCGTTGCCCCAGTGAAATTTGTTACGGTACCGCGCCTCGAACTTCAGGCGGCACTACAACTACTATAATAAACAATAATAAAAATTATAAAACATTTGTTGCTCACCGCTTAGGAGAAATCGACGAGCTCACAAACATTAATGAATGGAGATACATCCCCACGAAGTTAAATATCGCCGACATCGCTACACGTGAATTATTCGATTGTAACTTACTTACGGAAGAGTGGCTCAATGGGCCAGCAATGCTGTATAAACCCGAATATTCATGGCCTGTAGATATTTCGAATCCTAATATTTGTAGTTTACAGCTGGAAACTGTTAATACATTACAACATCATCATGTAGTTAGCTTACCTGTGCCAGATCCGACTAGGTTTTCTTCTTGGCTTCGCTTACTCAGAGCTACTGCATATGTCCTATTGTTTATAAAAAAATGTAGAAAACTTACTACCTACTGCCAGCTAGAATGCACGGTTATGGAGGAAGCTGAACGCCTGCTAATAAGACATGCCCAGTTGCAGTCATTTCCAGAGGATATAGCGACGATAAAGGATATGAAAGTATTAGAGAAAAGTAGTAAGCTACTTCCCTTATCGCCTTACCTGGATGAACACGGAATTATGCGCTTAGGTGGCCGAATCAACGCCGTAGCTGATGTATGTCTTATAACAAAACATCCTGTAATATTGGACGGCCGGCATCCCATATCACGATTGCTCGTCAAATATTACCATGTAAAGGCTGCACATGGTTTAAATGAGATGGTAGTAAATGAGCTGAAACAAAAATATTGGATATTGAGACTCCGACCTACTGTTCGCACCGTAGCATCCAGTTGCATGTTCTGCCGCATAAAAAGGGCTAGACCTGAACCACCACGAGAGACTTACCGCAAGCTCGGTTAGACCATCATCAGCGGCCATTTACTAATTGTGGCGTGGATCTATTCGGTCCCCTCGATGTCACTGTTGGACGTAGGAGAGAAAAGAGATACGGAGTGCTTTTCACTTGCCTTTAGTGGTCGCTGTATATGTGTATGATGTGTGTGGGTGTGTACTCTACGTGTCTTCCCAGACTTTTAACACTTAATGTTAGAGCGACCGCTTAAGCAATAAATTTGCTTTAAAGTCTTGAAAAAGTTAAACGCTTCGCGGGGGTGCTGGGTATAGTTTATTGATTTAGTTATGTGAAGCTATCTCCGAAGTATTCCGAATGGGATCGGCATTCCCATTCGGAGTTAGGGCCGTTATGGCCCCCCTCATGTTATACGGCTTACGGTGACCACCGTGTAAACTGACAATTCTCTTGACGGGCAATTATATCGTCATAGCAATGAATTCAAAACTTTTGCCCGCTCTAGCTCATCATAGTATATTCTAAAACGTTGTATACATGTGATACACATGTATACAACGTGTGAGACACACATTGTATACATGCAAAAATCAGAATAAACATTATTTCAAAGTAGCAAAAGTTAAAATAATAGTCATCATATTTCCCTTTGAACGATTTGAAATAATTCTAAAATCTCTGTTCAAATTGGGTCTAAGGCCATTTGCATGAGAGCTTAGGTGCACAATTGACGCACGGAAGCATATTGTTTATACAGCTGTGCGCATTTCTTTAAACTGACGTATTAACATTGGAGCGGGTAAAATTGAAATCTTTTATTACATATTTTTCATACTAGAAAATTTTATTATTGTCATTTTGCATATGCAATATTAAAAGTAATAGAAAAGACATACAAGTAATACATATATATAGGTATATAGTACCTAGTTAATTTTAGCGATTGTGTAAAATAAATTACAGACGTTATTTAGTATCTTGACGCATGACTTATTAGCATTCAACGATAGGGCTACCTTGTTACTTGACTTTTTAAAGATCCCGTCACCTAAAACTCGCGGTTTTCTGCTTTTAATTTTTTTTATCTTCTTACGAAGTGATTGATTAATAATGAAAGTAAGTGTAGAACGTTATTCATATTTTTTTTTATTAATGACGGGAAACGACTCACCGCGTTAGTGCCAATGTGAATAGTATAAGGCTAAATACTATCAATCATATAATGTGAATTTAAAAAAAAACTGAAGAAGAAATAGTATTTCTCAAAAATGTGAGCCAAATTACTTTTCACCTTTAAAATCATCTTTATGACTTTAACTGCGGACGGTAGTGAAAACTGCAGATGAAACCAAGGCTTTGTTTACTTAGAATAGAATAGAATAGAAAATCTTTATTGATCGTACACAAACACCGTTAACAAAAAAAAAGAGAACAAAATAACTAATTTACATATAAATACAATTAATAATTTTCCTAATATCGAATAATGAAAATAAATAAAAAGTCGGTGTATGCGACGACCAAAAGGTAGCTCAGCATAATGCTACGGTTGAGGTAGCGCTGATTTTCAGCTGACGCCTACGAAAGTGAGTCACGGACAATCTGGATGCCTAGTAGAATTTAAAAAATAAATAAATAAATATATATATGTAAAAAAATATATCTTTATATGATATACATACATATATACACACACATATATTTCACCAACGTTGTATAATGACCAGTGCTTGCATGCCAGTTTATGTGTCGGAGTTTAATTTTAAATTGTATTGAGCCATTTTTGCTGTCACAGGGGAGGGTTCAAAAGAAAGTGTGTCGTCCAGTTCATGTCGTTTTTTGTGTGAGTAAAAGATAGTTTTTAGCTTAAACTT